CTGTGCATATTAACTATTTTCAGACTGCTCAAAGCGCAGGTGATGAAAAACACTAGTTTTAGGAAAAACAAGTTTCAACTGAATGAGATAAGGATTCGGTTAATGGTTACCTTGAGATGTGCTCTAGTTGTTGATGGAGCCCATTTCATGGCCTCAGCGAGAATCTGTTGACATTTGGCACTGAAATCGGCCAGCACCTTTTGCCGTTCTTCCCTAGTGTCCGGTAGACGTAGTTCGTACGTGTTGTCGATCTTTAGCTTGGACGACTCGGTATCGAGGTCGGTGTTAGAAAAGTTGTACAGTTGTTGCAGGATGTCCAGCATCACCTTCAGAACTCTCGGATTCCACAGCAAATAAGGAAAAGTGTCGACCATGCACGACAAACATCGATCGGCACAGCGTCTAATTTCCGGGTAGACGGCGTTGAACTTGATCAACAAGAATTGGGCGTGCTCCTCGAGCTCCCTTTCATTCGACGGCTGTCGCTCCCGCTCTTTTGCGACTTTTAGGTACTCCTTGATCACCGTCTGGGTAACTACTATCATACAAGTCCACATACCGTATTTATCCTTCCTGATGCTTCTACAAAATATGACAAACTTTACCCAAAACAAGAAACGGGAGAAACGAAGATCTATCAACCTACTTTTCCTCAAGGTAATCGAATATGAAGTGCACAGCTTTTGGATCCTTTGAGTGCACCACGCGAAGTGTTTCCAGTCGCAGTACCGATAGCAGATAAACACACTGCAGGAACTCCATTTTGTTCACAAATGGTATGACCTCAGTTGCGTGGCCTAAGCGGGCTAGCAGATTGTTCCGAAGCTCTTGTAAATGAGCCTATTAATGGTGTCAGTAATTAACATTGCTAGTTATTGTCATGTAAAGCTAAGTTTTATTTCATTTCTAATCGTTATGCTGCGAAACTTAGACTGATAGTTTAAACGGAGAAAACAAGGATGATTAACCTGAAGAGGGCAAGGTTCAGATTGTGACCGGATACAGCCACCCCAGAAAACAGACAATTAATTCATTTACCTCGGAATTGGACAGCTTCTCTCCTGGACGATATAATACAAAGGATGCTGAGAAGCTCTATTTAGCTACATCAGTCACCGGTTCTGGTAACAAACGAACCAAAGTGGGAGGGAAGGCGAAATATTCCTCACGAGAAATATAAGTTGAAAAGAACCATTAACAAGCAGCACTTTGTTCCAAAGCGATATTTTAATGTAAGTTACTTGGCGAATAACTTCTTCAAGAGTGGATTTAAAGGAGCATATCATAGCCCCTTTGTCCAACTTGCCTGTAAGACTATCTAAGCAGGTCGTAGCTGAATGCAATACTTTAATACAGCAGAATTCACGTAACTGAAATCATGGTAATTAGATGGTGTACTACTCATAAAATCACTCAGAGCATGCTATCACTTAGTTACTGCGTAAAAACGTTACATGAGTTCCTCAAAACTGTTAAACATGCAAAATACTCTTTCACTGGAACAGTCAACCGCTTACCGGATCAACGATGTCAGTCGCGATTGCGAAACCTTTGATAGCAGATCGGAGGTTATCCTGCACAGTAAGCAATGGAGATTTTACGGATACAGCGCAAACAGCATTGTACCATTCCACAGGCCACAAACCTAAAAAACAGTCTATATTTGCATAACTTGTGAACAACCAGTAAAATTCTGATATGCTATAAGAACTGTATAGTCCATCAACCAATCAGTAAGTAAGTAAGTAAATAAGTAAAAAATAAGTAAGTAATTAAGTCAGCAAGGAAGTCAGTCAGTTTCGATGACCGCTCATCATTTATTATTATGGATCGCTGAAGAAACCTGAAAGAACGTAGCAAATGGAGTGAAACATATTCCGTCAAGGGAAATCGCTAGAGGGCACAGTTTAATGACTTATTCAGTATCCTGTCTATTCTACCCTTAACAAGGAAACAAAGTATTCATTCACTGTTCTATGTTCTTCATTATTATTCATTTAGTTACGAGCCGTATTCTTTCATAGGTTTTGCATTATTTTTCATTTCCGGTTAAATTATGTAGATATTTTGTTTATAATATCATAAAATGCAATATCTTCTTATTCTCGTTTTCGTGAAAAATTACTGTTTCTGAATAACGAAGTGGAGCGATGATGTAATTCAAAGAGTAAAATGATTACTTTAATTTTATCGTTCATTCTGAACCTTAATACAACGATTCTAACTTGTCCAAATGTAAAAAAATTACTTTTATAAGTTATTCTGCCGGAACAGCTTAAAGAATTTGGTAGTCTTTGCTATAAACTGATGGGTGCACAGCAACTCACTATAACTTACCAGAATCCTCGACGTCGAAGCCCATTACCACGCAGTAAAGCCAGAAATCGCGAAAGAGTTTCTGCAAACGCGGTTTAGGGTTACTGACGAAATCCATCCTCCTGAGCAAATTGGCGATCACTGGAAGTAGAACTCCTAAATTTCCGGCATTGCTCGACGCCTAAATGAAGACGTAGTTAGAAACTAGCAATGTAATTCGAAGTAGTGGTTGGTTATACAACTAGAAGCCCAGAAAATGAAACAACAGCTTTAAAGAAATGCACCATAAATAACCAGAAAACTCATGTCATAAATAAAGTTCAGCAAAGACGGAAGGAAACTGAAAAACTGGCGAAAGGACGATTTTAAATACGTCTGGACAATCTACGGTAAATCCCAGCAACCACACGAGTTGAAGCAATAACCTTGGAACGAGGATACGATCAGAAACAGCAAAAACAGCAACTGCAATTTGGCGTTGTTCAAGAGAATGAAGAAGTGTCGAGAACGAGGGAGAACACAAAGGAGAATATTGTGTTATCATACGTATATTCTGTCACAGCGTTGTGCGCAAACTAATAGGTATCGCTCCCTATATATGATGATTGGAAAACTAATACTGTGTTGTAAATTCGCAACGGTACTGCAAACAAAACGGTTAATTAAATGTCCTTATAACCAAAAATACTCATGCTATTGTGGGTTTATAAACAAAAAATAGTTCTCGATACCATTCGTCAAAATAACATCAATTTATCACTTTCCGATATACAAGGATGTAATCGCGCCGACCATTGCTTTAAAAA